ACATTTGCGACGTCGGCGCCTAGATGTCATCGCATGGAAATACATACGAAATGATGATGATATTGGTGATACGACAAAAGTCTGTTCGGTTACATTAAATCGAGACACTAATGCCGGTCGAAAATTTCGACTTCGCGGTATGTTTACAGTGAATCATTTATTTTTTTATATAACTTTGAATCTAATATTCAATTTTCATCATATATGTATTTAGGTCATCATGAACTATTTGGAATAAAATTGCCAGATGCATTCACAGTCGATGCCAAGATACAAGATCAACATGCAGAGCGACGCTTCAAACAATTTGAAGAAAATAAGCGTAAAAAGCAACAAAAGGTGAGCTGCATTATTTGTTGAATACAATTTTCGAATTCATGTGATGTGTAAAGTGAATTTGATTTTTTTGTTTACATTTCAGTATCAAACATCAAAAAATTCCATTGAAGCTGAATACGATTCGGATCAGTCATGGTGGTCGTCAAGCAGCGAAGAAGATGCAATCGATTTGAGCAACAGTGAATTGTCAGACAACAGTGATGATAGTAATGATAGCGGTAGCGGTAGCGACGACGATGGCGAAAACTGAGAATAGCATCGTTCACACACTGCACATCGCTCATTCAACAAATCAACAATCAATCAATCAAACAAATAAATGAAAAATTAAATTTTGTTTAATTTAAGGAACAATGTTAATAGTTCTTATCATGAAGTCTGGCTATTCAGCGTGGACTTCCGTATTATCTAACCGCTAAACTTACAGTTCATGCCGATTGTTCAAACATCGATTGAACAAATGCCAATTTATATCATCGTCGAATGCTCTCACTGATATGCCAACATTTGAAATTAAAATACATTTTTTCAAAGATGCGCAGCTAAGCGATTTTCTCAAATTCTGTACAATTTTTGTCCATTGTTCTGATTTTGCAATGTTCAATGTAATTATCCGTGATGTTATCTGAAATCAAAATGAAAATTTACATTTCAACCTCAATAAGTTCTCGAACACTATATATACTTACAGTTAATACTTTCAATAATTCGGTGTCAGCCAATTGATTGAGATCTTTTTTCGCCAAAAAATCAAAGTACTTTTTACGAAGTTCCTGCTTTTCAATTTTAGTGTCCAAACGAATGAATGTCCACAAAACTGTTGCAAATTCTTCTATAGTCATATCATCGAGAACATTTTCAAAAACATTTTCAAATGCGCGAATGTCCTCAATTGGTTTTTGCCAGCAATTGATGTACAAAAATGCCTGTGCTAATTCGGATGCATTCATGCCTTTCATGTATCGATTAAGTATACGCGGTACCTAAGAGAAGAATCAGAAAAGAATGGATAATAAAAAAATATTTAGTATATAATAGAAAATAATCAATATACTAATTAGTATTATGAATTTGAATGACGAAAATAATTATTATAATCAAAAAAGAATCAACAAGAATTATACGTTACCATTGTTGAAAAATGCGTTTGTTTGGAGCAAGGAATAGATAACCAAATACTACTTATAAACAACAATTGTGATGCTAGTAAATATCTTGAACGCGTTGAACAAGCTTGATCAAACGCATAAAATAACTCAACTCCGTTTCGTTGTCGAACCACACTCACGTTCAATGGATAATTGGCAAATATTTGCATCGCACGAATCACTTCATTCAATGTGAATTGTTCCATTCGATCACAAAAATCATCGATAAACTGATCAAATCCTTTATCGGACAGTTGAATATTATTTTCTTGGCTTTTAGTCAACATATTGCTGAATGCATGTATTAATTTATCATTAATATCATCCAACTCGATATTTTGATCATCAATTGGACATTGCACAAGGTTTCTTGTTTCGTTGTCAAACTTATAAACGAATCCAGAGTTCCTTTTAAACATATTGTGACGATCAGACTCTCTATAATAATTGCTCACTCTTTGCAATTGCTCTGCGACATCTGGATGTTCATTTTTCACTGAACAAAACTGGGCCATTCGTTGAATCGCCAAACATCTTTGGAAATTTAATTTGGAAATTATTCGGAACATCCTATGTCACAACTTTCAAATTTCAACAATTCGATTCAAACTCTTTTATTGAATTTGTGAGGTTAGCATATTTTCATACTTGCGAGACAGAGTTTGATGTATAATAAGTACGTAGAGTACTTTACCATCTAAGAAATAAAAAGTACTTACCAAAAGAACCTTTTTCCATTCTGTTCCATTATCATTATTCACATAAATTCTAATATCTATTGAATATATCGTTAGGAGAGTATGTTATTCAGCACTTATAGCTGAGTAATGACTGAATTAAACATAGTCTCCAATCGATATATTCCATATCTATTGACTACGAGATTTTCAAATGACGATGATGATGATGGAAACAGAAATGTATGTGAATGGAGATTTTGTGTGTCTGTGTTGATTGAAAATGGATTCTTAGATACTATGTAGCCTGACCACACCATATGAAAGATACAAAAAGCGCAACATTAAACAGATTGCTGACAAAAATTGAGATTGCATCGGAATAACGTCACGGCGATAACGTGATGCAGTGAACCGACATACGACATCAGTAGCAACGACGAAAGGTGATTTTATTATTATTTTTTTATCTTGCATAGTAGCCGTACATTCGCAGTAAAGCAATTTTTTACTAGTGGCGCCGCCACATTTACGCGCCCATCTCTTACTTAAATACTTTTGACAACATTTGGTTCGTGTAGATTTGACATTTCATGGAATGTGACGTTGATGTTCGTTAATATGATAAAATAAATTCATGATCAAATTTACTGTGCATATGTTAAAGGTATTCCGATTTTAGTATCGACATGTTTCAATGTATTTATCTGGATTATGGCTGGCAATAAATGCTTTGCCAAAGTATGCAGCTCGAATCAAGCTTAAAGATCCATAAAAATGATCGTATCTATCGTAAAACAAATGAAGCACAATCACCATTCAATTTGCTTTGGTTTTTCAGATTGATTTGTTTTAAATTCACAGTATTTTGTTTGCAAATCAGACGTTCCCATCCAAACGATGCCGTTATTTGTATACATACAATGCCAAAAATCGATGATTATACGAAACGGACATTGCGAAAATACTTTTAAATTCATTTTCAATGGATACCGTTTGTACGGAACACACACTATATCCCTGGCTTAATTTGAACAATTCATGTTCACGTACAACCAAACTGCATGTATTTCGATCTTCATTGATAATAATCCAACACGTTGGATCGAGTATCGATTCTGTAAATAAATCAAATCAAAAGTAAGTACCATCAAAGTTAGTCTTAATCGAACGTATGGGTGATGATATTCACTTGGCATTTCGGGCAATTGTCGATTTTTCGGCTCTTTTATACTATTTATAAGGAATATACGATAATTGGTGGTCATTACAGCAACGCCTGTCCCTGAATTTGATGTAAATATTTTGGCATCGATGACTTTTGTGTTTATGACTTTTTTTTGCTCATAACCATTTCAACAACGATACATACACATACACAGTAGCAGCTAGTTTGTCGGCATTGTTATTACGAAATGTCAAATAATCTTTCGCATTTACACAGCGAACTCCAATTGGATTAGTTGAAATAATTTAGTCTCAAAGGCGGAAAAAACCGTAATTAATTTTTAGTGTGCTCAAAATCAGATAAAACTCAATAATTATCGAATTAATTCATATTTTGTCGTGATTTCAAACAAATTGATAACAAATTGGAAAATATTCTTAACTTTAAAAAACGTGTTTGATAATTTCATCATCTAAACGATCAAAGAAATTGAGACGCAATTGTCAATTGGACCAACGGAACAATTTTTCAATTTTTCCTGTGCATTAATTCATCAAAGTCCCAAAATAAATCAGGTAAATTCATGTTTTGTCGTGTTTCGAAAATAAATTATCGCTATTGATTGCAAATTGATGAGTATTTCTAAATTGATTGGTGATTTTCGGATTTTTTCGGCACATGTTCAATTTTTTTTTTCTTTGCTTTTTGAAGTTTGGTTATGTTCTGTTCCGCTTGTTTGTTGTCCAAGATCTTTCTTCGATATTGTACGAATATGTATCGATTTGTTTCTATTTTTTCCGTATTTTATAATTAAGGATGCGTCCGAAGCGTACTTGCGTTAATGAAACGAATGAAAGAATTCGAATATATTCTGAATGGGCCAATTAGCAGGATCGTCATGACACATACCGTGAGATTGAGGCATCCTTGGGCATTAGTATGAGAAGCATACACACGATTTTGCATGAACATTTGGCCGTAAAAAAGATTTGCTCTCGTTGGATTCCACATAAATTGACCGATGACCAAAAATTAGCTCGTGTGAATTGGTGCAAAGAAATGCTCAACAAATATAACCGCGGTGCGAGAAAGTTGTTCGAGCTCGAAGTGTTGCGAAGCAAATGGTCGCCTGTTTTTTCGCAATTAGTGGACATGTGGCAACAGTTCCACTAGAGGATCGTAGAACAGTCAATTCTGACTGGTACACCACCATTTGTTTGCCAGAAGTATTTGGTGAATTAAGAAAAAAAACCCACCGTCGCAGAATAATTCTTCATCATGATAATGCGAGCTCTCACACATCTCATCACACAACTGAATATTTGACAGCTCAAAAGATCGAATTAATGGGTCATCCACCGTACAGTCCTGATTTAGCACCCAACGATTTCTTTTTGTTTCCGAGGTCAACGATTTTCGACGCCAGAAGAAGCAGTTGATGCGTTCAAAACACACGTTTTGGAGATATCGGTTTCGGAGTGGCATGAATGCTACGGCAAGTGGTTCGAGCGTATGCAAAAGTGTATCGACCATCATGGCGAATACTTTGAAAAACAATAAAGCCATTTTTGATAAAAAACGATTGCGTTGTATATGCTTTTCTAGAAATATATGGAGCAGCCTACGTAAAACATTAATTTTGTTTGAGATATTGTTCTCATTATTTATGATTTTTTTTTATTCTTCATCACTTGAAACATAGCTGTCCACGAACACCAACGAACGAACCGTTCGTTCGTTTTCAATGTATATTTTGTTCGTTCGTTCGTTCGTAGAAAATGAATTGTTCGGATTGTTCGTTCATATGTTCGTACGAACAACGAACAACGAACAACGAACAACGAACACGTTCGTTCGTTCGTAATTTATGGAAATTTATTTTCTGAATGTAAACAAATATTGCGATAATAAATGTAAATTGGGAAAACTCTAAATCGATTTTCCCCGCTTTTCCGATGGGAAATTGTGAAAATAGCCTAAAGTCCAAATCCGGTGTAATTTGGCTGATCCATGAATTCTCAGGATTTGACCTGAATTCTAAAACTTCCATAAAGATATTCTATAAAAAATCCATTCTTCTTGTAATTGTATGTATTTTTAATTGTAATTACATTATGGAAGTTCTGGAATCCAGGTCAAATCCTGAGAATCAATGGATCAGCAGATTTCAACTGGATTTGGACTTTAGGCCATCGAACCACTGAGGTGTTGTTCTACGGGAGTCAACATTTTGCTTATTTTTCACGATTTCCCATCGGAAAAGTGGGAAAAATCGATTTAAAAATTTCCCAATTTACATTTATTATCGCAATATTTGTATACATTAATAATAATAACTGCATCGAACAGCGTTCCTTCGCCTTGGTGGTTTATTGAAAATAATTTAATTAAATATATATAATGTATCGAAGTGTAGTTCGCTCACTACACCTCAACATCTCCCAGCGA